GCCTGGTCCCGGCCTTCGGCATCCTTCGGTGTACCCATTGCCTCTATCAACTCCGAGAGTTTCTTGTCGTTTATAGCCATCTCTTCTTGGAACTCTACCCTCGTTTCTTCTACTTCTAGCTTATCTATTCTCCATCTGTACATTTTCCTGCGTCGCCTACTCTGTATGACTCTCGTCTGTTGTAAGGCTGTCCACACCAACGCGTGGTCTGTAGTGCCTACATCTGTTGTGCATACTCGTACTTCCGTCTCTTTGCCCCCATTCTCTACGACTATATAGTCAAGGATGGAGCGTTCTCCTTTTTTGAAACATTGCCTATTAGTCCATTCCGGTTCTGTCTTTCGTACTCTACCGCTCAACACCTTCATCTCGCTACTGTCAAGGAACCTCAGCATTTCTTCCCCGTTTTTGTTCGTGGCTCCCTCCGTATTGCCCTATGGTTCCGTGTGGGTTCGTGGTTCGCCCGATTCTTGAATTGAAGTCCCCAACTAGAACTACTTCTCCCTTTCTCTTGAAGTTTTGTACATCCGCTGCTACCTCCTCGAACCCTATCCTGATGTCCTTCACCATATTCTTCGACTCTGGTGGTATCTATACATTTCCTACGAACAAGTCCTTTCTTCCCCGTTCCCCTGGTACCCTTGTCCACATGCTTTCGTTGAATTTGGTGTCGCTGATCACCTCAATTATGTCGCACATGTGCTCCTTGACTAAGAATCCAACTCCTCCCCTCTACTCTTGATTTTCTGTCCTCTCCTCATTTTACCTAGCCATGTGTAGCTTCCCACTTATTTTCCTATTTCTCCCCCGTCCTTCTCCCACGACTCTTGGACTCCGACTATGTCCAGGTCTTTTTCGGCCGCTTGCTCGGCAATTTCGAGTCTTTTACGCTCATCTGTGGCAAATCCGCATACATTCCAAGACCTTATTCTGATTTCCTTGCTCCTACTTTCTACTTTCCCGTACCTTTCAGGATTCCTTTTGTCCCTCATTTGCCTTTCCCTCTGCCTTATCCTATCGCTGCCCCCCCCTTCCCCTACTTTGGCTTGCTTTCCCTTTTGACCCTTTCGGGCCTCCTGCCCCCCCTTTGTTTTCAGCCAGCCTTGGGCTACGCCTTACTTCCTGGATCCCATTTGCTATGCACAACCTCCAACCTAGTCTCCTCACCCACGCCGACATCTTCTCTACTTCTAGTCTTTCCCATTCTGCGGGAGGGGGGGGGGGGGGGTACTGTCGGGCAACAATGTTTTTTTCCTGGACCCCTGAATAATTAAGTGCCCGGAAGGAAGCCGTGGTGAATGGGGTATGTTCCCCCACCCCGCGCGGGTAATCCCCACGAGCGGGGATTATATAAAGATATGGGGCGGGGTCAACTATTTAAATGGTTTTAGGGTTGGGGAGAATACACTAATTATTTTTTAGGGTT